TTTCAATGCCCTGGCTGAGGGAAGGAGGTTCTCACCCAAGATTTGACGGTACATGGCCCCGTCCATCGTCCCTTTGATGCGGTGAAGTTGTCCTGTCCCCTTAGCAGAAAAACACCCCCAAAGCATAATGTTTCCACCTCCATGTTTGACGGTGGGGATGGTGTTCCTGGGTTCATAGTCAGCATTCCTCCTCCTCCAAACATAGCGAGTTGAGTTGATGCCAAAGAGCTCGATTTTGGTCTCATCTGACCACAGTCCTTCACGGCGTAGTGTGTTACCAATTGTTTTCTTGGTGACTATGGTCCCAGCTGCCTTGAGATCATTGACAAGATCCTCCCGTGTAGTTCTGGGCTGATTCCTCACCGTTCTCATGATCATTGCAACTCCACGAGGTGAGATCTTGCATGGAGCCCCAGGCCGAGGGAGATTGACAGTTCTTTTGTGTTTCTTCCATTTGCGAATAATCGCACCAACTGTTGTCACCTTCTCACCAAGCTGCTTGGCGATGGTCTTGTAGCCCATTCCAGGCTTGTGTAGGTCTACAATCTTGTCCCTGACATCCTTGGAGAGCTCTTTGGTTTGGCCATGGTGGAGAGTTTGGAATCTGATTGATTGATTGCTTCTGTGGACAGATGTCTTTTATACAGGTAACAAACTGAGATTAGGAGCACTCCCTTTAAGAGTGTGCTCCTAATCTCAGCTCGTTACCTGTATAAAAGACACCTGGGAGCCAGAAATATTTCTGATTGAGAGGGGGTCAAATACTTATTTCCCTCATTAAAATGCAAATCAGTTTATAACATTTTTGACATGAGTTCTTCTGGATTTATTTGTTGTTATTCTGTCTCTCACTGTTCAAATAAACCTACCATTACAATTATAGACTGATCATTTCTTTGTCAGTGGGCAAACGTACAAAATCAGCAGGGGATCAAATACTTTTTTCCTTCACTGTAATTGTCAATAAAAGCCTTTGACACTTATGGAATGCTTGTAATTATACTTCAGTATACCATAGTAACATCTGACAAAAATATCTCATAACACTGAAGCAGCAAACTTTGTGAAGACCAATACTTGTGTCATTCTCAAAACTTTTGACCACAACTGTATAATCTAATGATCCATCATGTATGACATTCCTGGGAGTGTGTAAACGTATCATTTTTGTATGTTCTCTATAGTTATGTACTTGAAAATGTATCAATTTACCAATTCGGCACATTTGGGCAGACTTGATACAAAAATTATCCAGTATTGCAACGGTTCACTGGATCAATCTGAAACTTTGCACACACACTGCTGCCATCTAGTGGCCAAAATCTAAATTGCGCCTAAACTGCAATATTATATTGTGGCCTTTCTTTTGCAAAGACGATGGAACAAATAACATTGAAAATGCATGTTTTTTTGTTTGCATTATCTTTTACCAGATCTAATGTGTTATATTCTCCTACATTAATTTCACATTTCCACAAACTCCAAATTTGTTTCCTTTCAAATGGCATCAATAATATGCATATCCTTGCTTCAGGTCCTGAGCTACAGGCAGTTAGATTTGGGTATGGGTCCGATCCTTAAGAGGTTAAAAGGTGAAACGTCACAACTCTGCAACTCAGGCAACAACATTTTCTCAGAGTTTCCCCACTTGAAATTCCGGCCTGTAGGGTCATTCTAGTGAAACTTCCCAGTCGGAACTAGGAACTTCCGATAACTCCGATAGCACGTAAACACAGTTACCCACTTGCAGCTCTCTGACATCATATCATATGTCAACAAAAAAGTTGTTAATGGAAAGAACAAAATACAAATTGTAATGTTTTTCTAAGCTTTTGAACACATGCTTAAATTGATTTTTGTGCATGCATTTACGTTAACAGCTGTGATCATTTTCTTAATTGATAGGTATTACTGTTCTGTATCCAGCTAGACAATGTAACCAGCACAGAACACATTAGGCATGTGCTGTCTTGACAGGTCATTCAGCTAACTAATTATTGATTTATTGAAACTTATATTCTAGTGTACTGATATGTTTCCTTTCATCTTCCTTTTGATTCAGAAATCGAAAGCAGCTCTGGACATACTTCTTATGGGCAAAAATAGAGCAAAAGAATCATAGCTAGCTTTTTAATTACCTTTATCCTTGATGGTATTTCCCACTTAAAAGCACATGAATACACCAAACTCATTACGACATAAATGGTAACTACAACCTTCCCATTTGGTCATGAACGCAGCATTAGGGTGATTCCTCACAAAACTATAACAAAAATACATGATTTGGGGGATTTTCACAAAATGTAATCCAGGAAGATTGACATATTTTACATTTGTATTTTAAAGCATAATTGAGTGTTGCTGCCTTGCTTCCGAGGCAGTTTGGAACTCTGTAGTGAGTGTTGCAACCGAGGACAGACCGCTTCAGCACTCGCCGGTCCCGTTCTGTGAGCTTGTGGCCTACCACTTTGTGGCTGAGCCATTGTTGCTCCTAGACATGTCCACTTCACAATAAAAGCACTTACAGTTTGAAGCGGGAGTGAGTGGGTGTGACAGTTGAGGGTGACAGATTCGAAAAAGATGGCGGAGGCGGACGATGAAGTGGATTATGAATCTAATGGCGGTAGAATCAAGGAGGATTGGAATATTGTTCAAAATAATGGAAAAAAATAGCAAATAGGGTATAGTGAGGAGAATGTCCCTTTATATATTTTTGGAGTAAGGTTTGTTAATGAGGAGTAGCTTATATAAATACCAATCTTGAGGTATCCATTTGAGCTATCCAAACTGGTGGAGAGGGTGATGGGTAAAGTGAAGGATGTGAGGATCACGAGAGGCGGGTTTGTTTTGAGTTTTTGTACTTCTGCGGATCAGAAGGAACGTGTGTTGAGGCTCTCCCGATTTGAAAAGTGTGACGTGTCGTGTGTGGCTCTTCGGAACAGGGCACCCCTCAAGGGGGTAATAGCTGGCGTCTCGTGGGAAGTTGATGTTAAAGAGATTAAAAATATTCCTGGAGTGAATGATGCACATCGGACGAATCGAGTGGCGAATTATGAAAAAGTGAAGAGTATCTGTTCTTTTGTTTTTTGATATGGAGTCTCTCCCTACTAAAGTGCAGTTGTGTTATATAAACTACAAAGTCAGAGCATTTATCCCATTTTTACATTTTAGTCATTTAGCAGACGCTCTTATCCAGAGCGACTTACAGTTAGTGAATACATATTTTTTTTATACTGGCCCCCCGTGGGAATCGAACCCACAACCCTGGCGTTGCAAACGCCATGCTCTATCAACTGAGCTACATCCCTGCCGGCCATTCCCTCCCCTACCCTGGGCCAATTGTGCGCCGCCCATGAGTCTCCCGGTCGCGGCCGGCTGCGACAGAGCCTGGATTCGAACCAGGATCTCTAGTGGCACAGTTAGCACTGCGATGCAGTGCCTTAGACCACTGCGCCACTCAGTGCCAAGACCAATGCAGTGTGATCACTGTAAAGCTTTAGGTCATGTGTGAAGGGTTTGCAGAAGGGAGAAACCGAGATGTCCAAGTTGTGGAAAATATCCTTTAATGTGTCATAAAAGTGATGAAAAAGTGAACTGTTGCAATTGTGGTGGGAACCATGAAGCCACGTCTTTTGAATGCCGGACAAGGGAGAAAGAAAATGAGGTGGCCAAAGTTAGGGTGGATGAAAGCTTTCTCAGCAAAAGAGTTACATAGAATATTGTCAAAAGCCGTACCACCATCTCAGGCCCTAGAGACTGAGAAGGGAGATATGGAGATTTAAAAGAAGGAACAAATGACAGTTTTGTTTTGTCAATGTACTATTTTATTTGGGTGGATTTAGTTAGTTTCCCTATTAATGTATGGATTTTATTTTGTTACATGGAATATTGGCAAAAGCTGTATCACTCTATCAGGCCCTAGAGCCTGAGAAAGGAGATATGGAGAACTAAAAGAAGGAAGACATGGGAGTTGTTTGTGTTGGCAATTTACTATTTTTATTAGGGTTGAGTAAGTTAGTATCACTATTAAGTATGGATTAATTTTTATATTTTGTGGTTTCGGCAATACAATTTTTGGATGTAGTCCGCCATAAAACCCACAGAAGAAGAAGAAAGAAGAGGCACTTATAGTTGCCCAGGGCAGCTCTAGCAGTGCAGAAATTTTACAAACTGACTTGTTGGAAAGGTGGCATCCTATGACGGTGCCACATTGAATGTCACTGAGCTCTTCAGTAAGGCCATTCTACTGCCAATGTTTGTCTATAGAGATTGCATGGCTGTGTGCTCGATTTTATACGCTGGTCAGCAACGGGTGTGGCTGAAATAGCTGAATCCACTAATTTGAAGGCGTGTCCACATACTTTTCTATATATAGTGTATCGTGGTCTTTTTTTGTTCTAGTTCCGTGAGGAATCAGCATTTACAATTATGTATCATAAGTACAAACGAGAGCGAGGTCAATGATGTATGTATACTGCCAATGTAACCAATACAATAAGATACAACTGGTAAGACTGACTTCAGTCTTGGAATGGCCTAAACTAATGCCATTCAAATTCTGCGACGTTGACCCCGAAAAAAAGTAAACAAGATTGCCATGAAATAATTCTCAAATAGAAATCCATCCATCCAACAATTCCTGGTAAAGTTTAGGTACGTGTATTTGTCCGTATGTATATCTGTTTCTGCCTGACCAAAAAATACGCATAAACAGTAAAGCTGATCTTCCTACTCTGTGCTGCACCCTAAATACGCAGCCATCTTCAGTCAGGCATAGGCATAGGCACAGGCATAGGCTACGATCAAGTCTGAATTTAAGCATTCTGCTCAAAACTGCAGTTGCTCGGTGCATGAGTCCAGTCTGAGTCCTCGTCACAATCATCTAACTGCTAGCTAAGTAACACAAGTGTTGTACTCACCAATATGTGCTCCAGTGTGATGTTACTGAAACATTTGTAATGTTGTAACTTTTGAATGGAACATGCTCCACCCCTTTATGTAATGTAAAGAAGAGGGTTTCCGCCATTTTAAAGTATTCAAAGTCTGGGTGGTTATTCCTATGGGTTGTAGTCACATATGCTATCTATAATGGCACAGATATAAAGATGAGTCCTCCATCTACCTCTATGGGATTTTGTAATAGTATTTGGTAAAAAGCAAAGGCACTCGAGAAAAGTGTGCGCAGTGCTCATGAGCCAGCCAACTCACACCTCACAAATGTTGCGTTCACTCCTCGTTTCAAGTCGAAGATGCACTGGTCGGGGCTTATTTATGGACGAAGGTATGCAAGTGAGACTGTATTGTAGCTAAACAAGCATGGACAATATATATTCCGATAATTAGAGAATGATAGATAATGTATTTATTTATTTAGCTGTAAATTCGTATAGTAGCGGTTAGCGGAGTGTACCACAACTCCACAGTATGGGTTCTCCATTATATCACTTCACGGAACTAACACAGATAAATAGGGCAAACCAGTTTGGTTTATACCATACATATCCTGTACATACAGTACGACTAATTAAACTTGAAACGATTGCTTTCAGGCGGTCCCTGAGAAATCAGCAATAAAACTACCTAATAAAAAATAACTGCAGCAAGGCCAAACTACCTCTAAAGGAAGAACTGTATATGTTTGTGTAATTTTATATTTTGAGTGTCGACAATGCATTTTGGCCTCACATTTTATTCTTAAAAATGTGTAAGGCTTCCCTAGAAAGGGTACAGTGGGCCGAGGAACAGAAATGTTTGAGTACCCATTGGACTAGACTAAGTTCTCTATAGGGCTACAAAACACAGTATTGATTACCTATTCATTGTCATATGATCTCATGAAGCGCAAAGGAAAAACTCATATCACCACTGGGCACACACTGGTTGAATCAATCAAATTAAATTTGTATTTGTCACATGCACCGAATACAACAGGTGTATACCTTAGCGTGAAATGCTTACTTACAAGCCCATAACCAACAATGCAGAAATTTTTCCAAAGAAAGTAAGAAAATATTTGCACAATTTTTTTTTTAGAAATCAAATAAAGTACGAAAAATAAGTAACACAATAAAATAACAATAACGAGGCTATATACAGGGGGTACTGAGTCAATATGTGGGGGTACAGGCTAGTCGAGGTAATTGGGGTAATATGTAGGCTACTGTACATGTAGGTAGGGGTAAAGTTTTGGGCTCCCGAGTGGCGCTGTGGTCTGGCACTGCATCTCAGTGCTAGAGGCGTCACTACAGACCCTGGTTCGATTCCAGGCTGTATCACAATCCGGCCGTAATTGGGAGTTCCATAGGGCAGCGCACAATTGGCCCAGCGTCGTCCGGGTTTGGCCTGGGTAGGCCATCATTGTAAATAAGAATTTGTTCTTAACTGACTTGCCTAGTTAAATAAAGGTTAAATAAAATAAAATAAAAGTGACTATGCATAGGTAATAAACAGCGAGTAGCAGCAGTGTAAAAAATGGGGTCAATTCAAATAGTCTGGGTAGCCATTTGATTAACTGTTTAGCAGTCTTATGGCTTGGGGGTAGACGCTGTTAAGGAGCCTTTTGGACCTAGACTTGGCGCTCCAATACCGCTTGCCGTAGCAGCAGAGAGAACAGTCTATGACTAGGGTGGCTGGTGTATTTGACCATTTTTAGGGCCTTCCTCTGACACTGCCTGGTATAGAGGTCTTTGATGGCAGGAAGCTTGGCCCCAGTCATGTACTGGGCCGTACGCACTACCATACCAAGCGGTGATGCAACCAATCAGGATGCTCTCAATGGTGCAGCTGTATTTTTTGAGGTTCTGAGGACCCATGCCAAGTCTTTTTAGTTTCCTGAAGGGATGTTGTCATCCCCTATTGATGACTGTCTTGGTGTGTTGGACCATGATAGTTTGTTAGTGATGTGGATGCCAAGGAACTTGAAGCTCTTGACCCGCTCCACTACAGCCCCGTCGATGTGAATGGGATCATGCTCGGCCCCCCTTTTCCTGTAGTCCACCATCAGCTCTTTTGTCTTGCTCATTTCGTTGTTGAGGTAGAGGTTGTTGTCCTGGCACCACACTGCCAGGTCTCTGACCTCCTCCCTGTAGTCTGTCTCATCGTTGTTGGTGATCAGGCCTACCACCATTGTGTCGTCGGCAAACTTAATGATGGTGTTGGAGTCGTTTCATTTCCATGAAATGACGTTGAACCAATGTGGAATAGACGTTGAATTAACGTCTGTGTCCAGTGGGAAGGTGTTGACTGTAAACAGAGCACCGGAAACGACCTGTGGTCCCATGATCTATAAGTACTAAGGTCACTACATTATTAATACCATATCCTAATGGGATGTCCATGTGTACTCTACTGTATGTCTGATGCTGTTTGGTGTCACCCACAGCTGCTTGTGTCCGGCAGCAGCACCGTGGCCTGGACTCTGCAGACAGCCACTATGATGGACTGTACCCAGGCCACATCCCCACCAACCCCATCCAGAAAGCCCTGTTGGCTGTCGGCTCCGGGGTGGCAACCCTGCAAGACCCCTACAGACATGGTGAGAGGGATGCCCACTTCCAGTTGTGATACTTTCAAATGGTCATTTTGCATCTGTAGGGAGTTTGGCATGCTTATCTGTGCTTACACAACATGTGAGTAGGCTGTGTTCCCTGTTTCACTTTCCTTTCTTTTGCATTTGTATCTCAAACGATTTGAATAAGTTTCATTACGCACAGTAACCGATACCAAGCAGGGTTATTTAATGGTTATCATGTGTCATTTAGATCCCTAGTTATCAAGGTGTGGAAAACACTGTGAAGTTTTCGAGAAAAAAAAAAAAGGAAACTTAGAGTCCTAGTGAAACTATGTCGTAGATGTAATTTTGATTTCAACAAGGGTGAGAAATAACTTGAAAGTTACTCTTTTGGTATAACATACTGTACTGCATTTTCTCAATAAAAAAGTACCACATTTCTCTTCACTGTAATTCGTGTTCCCCATGTAGACATGGTGGCAGTGCTGGGAGAGACGACAGGACACCTGGCCCTGATGACGCTCCGGGACCGAATGAGAGGAGACCCTGAGGGCTATACCATTCTAACGTATGTCACAACCTCTGCTGTCTATCTCACTCTGTTTACGTACACCCTGAAATATACATCTCTATGATTTAAATAAGTTATGTGTGTACAATTGCTTGTCTGTGAATGCTCATGTGCGTATGTTTCACCTATTTCTGTGTTAGAGAGCGCCCACGGATCCGACTCTCCACATTGGATCTGTCCAAGATGGCCTCCCTTCCGGATGGATCCTTTGGGAGAGAGTACCTGCGCTTCCTTGAGGACAATGTGAGTTTATGAAGGACATGATGGATCTCTTTACAGAGGAGGCGTCGTGGTTATTTGCCAATCCTCATATCCCTCTATGTCTCTCTTTCTCAGAGGGTGACCCCTGACTCGAGGGTGAACGTGAAGTTTGTGGATAATGAGGAGTTGGCGTACGTCATGCAGAGGTACCGAGAGGTCCACGATTTACTGCACACCTTACTAGGCATGCCCACTAACATGCTGGGTGAGTCTGGGGTAAAGGGATTCACTGAGAGTATTGGTATTAGTGTGTTTCACTACATATAATTTCTTTCTCACTTTCTCAAACTCAGGTGAAGTGGCAGTAAAGTGGTTTGAGGCTGCTCAAACTGGCCTGCCAATGTGCATCCTGGGAGCAGCGTTGGGACCCCTCCGTCTGTCCACAAGGTGCTGCCCATCAGGCTCTCTTCTTATTCATACTGTATGTAGTAATATAAACCAGGGGCCTTTCAGGAGACTGACTGTCTGCCATGATGAATAGGAAGTAGTCTTGGCTCTTCTCGTTACATTTCTGCAATGTTCACTGAATACGTCCCAAGATTTATCTGTGATGTCGTCAGTCTCCAGGAAGTTATACTGTATATTCTAAGGGAGACTGGTGGTGAATGGAACATACACTTCCTGGACACCTCTGATGTTTGGTAATCAACCACACACCTGAGCAGCCCCCTGAGGTGTAAAGAGAACTGAAATGTAGGTGGATGACTTCCTTCAGGGAACTGAGACGATATGCTGTGTCATTTCAAGGATCAAATAACTATTGCTTAGTTGGTTTATTTGCAAGTGTCACAGAGCTGGTTGAGCTAGTTATGATCAACATACTGTAGTTATTGACGGAAGGGAATGGGAGTCTGCCTTCTGAAAGAATTACAGTTCACATGTATTTATTTTCTAGTCTAATTTCCTTCCTGGCTGAAAAACATCCCTTGTGTGTGGAAACTAATACTTACTGAATGTGTCATCATGATTTTTCTGAGTATTGGCTTTGACTGTAAATTATTTCTGCTCTGTAATACAATAACCGTTGACATCACAGTCTGGTATCTGTACAGTAATGTAATTATTACGGCCTGACTGTTTCATTGTGGCTCTCCCGCAGTCGTCTGGAGCCCTTGGTGACGTCCCTGGGACCATGGGCTGTGAGGAATGGCCGGCAGGCCCGCTGTGTCCTCAGCATCTTCTATGAGCGCCGCTGGGAGCAGAGTCTGGAGAACCTGAGAGAGGAGCTGAACATCGAGCCGCCCCCGCTCACCATCAGGGCCACCAGCCAGAAAGCCACATTAGACTCTTAGCACTGACCTCGAATGTCAGAGGTCACACTGTACAACCAGATGGGAAGAATGCAGGGACTCTTTGGAGGGATGTCATACAGTAATTTAGGCATTGTATGTGGGCTGACTGTGTCATAGCAATTGTGTCAAGCTTCCCCCATGTGTTCAAGTGAAGGAATTAAAGGCTAATAGTCACAGTGGGTGCAGAGGATTACCAGAGGGCTGGATGCAAGTTTCACCATCCAATTATATCAGATCTACAGGAGTGCAAGTTTCACCATGGCACAGACCGTGGCTATACTTAGAATATGGCACATAAAAAAAAAAAATGGTAATTTAGCAGACGCTCTTATCCAGAGCGACTTACAGGAGCAATTAGGGTTAAGTGCCTTGCTCAAGGGCACATAGACAGATTTTTCACCTAGTCGGCTCGGGGATTAGAACCAGCGACCTTTCGGTTACTGGTACAACGCTCTTAACCACTAAGCTACCTGCCGCACATATTAGTAAATTATTGCATTTTATCCATGCTACCTGAGACATGAAACAGATAAGTGGGAGGGCATACAGGCAGGCAGGAGGGCATACACGCAATTTGCCTAAATGGCAATGGAAACACTTCAACCTCTTCATTTTTATTTGACACTGTAGCTATGTTCTTGCGAAAGAGTGTATTTGTTAGGTGTGACGTCATTACGTTCAGCTGTTTTTAAAAGTCACCTTGTCCTAGAAAGATTTACACAGTTACCAAATGTCATGCCAGGGTAAGCCTACACGAAACACAGCCCTTATTTGAAGTGGTTTCTAAAAATCCCCTATGGGAAAAAATGAATGGTGGAAAAAACGATTTGAACCATTTCACTGTTTGACTGTTAGCTTTTATGGGTATTATGGCTCATACTGTGGTCCTCTATGGTCTTCTATATCTGCCATTTTCATGACATATGTCGCAATGATTCCATGGAAACCTGCCGATTGAGTGCAAGGCACTTTTTGTAACACAACCTAGGCTACAGCTTTTGTAAAATTAATGTCAAAAGGTGATTGTTTTATTTTATTTTAGCTAACCTAAACCCTAACCCTTTTCCTAAGGCCTTAACCTAATTCATCTAACCTGCTACGTTAATTCTCCTAACCTGCTACTAAAAGTCAAATCTAAAAAAAGCTGTAGGCTACATATTCCATCTACTCAAAACCGGGTCTTGTATCAGGCCTACCAGCTGGCATTCTTCAACCACCTAATCAACACAAGGCTGGGCAGACCGAGAACAAAGGAGAGTATGTTGCTGCCAATGGAAGCTGCCAGTTAGACTGCGAGCTGGAAATGAGTGGTTATTTAGTCATCAATTGATGACTGTTGATAGAAAAAGTAATGTCTAGTCTGGTATCATTCAAACACTAAGACTCAAAAAATGTTCTATCTGACATGGCCCTATTGGTATCCCACATTGCACACCACCCACATGGCACATTTACTGTAAAGAATGGCAGTCATGTAATATGTGTTTTATTTGCCAATATGTATTCATGATGAGCACAGTGCTGTTTATGTATCTCAGGGGTGAGATGTGTCGTTCATCGATAAACAATTTGCACTTTGTTGATGCCTGTTTCAATTACTCTGGGATTAGTACAGTTGGCCTACAGCATTATGAAAAGACTAAGGGCTCTATTCAATCAGCCGAGGTCGAGGTCATTAAAAAAATACACCCGCTCTCAATATAAAAAATATTTTCACATGACCCTACCCTTTACTGTAAAAAAAAAATTCGCACCCTCTCCCCTCATAAAATGTACTCGGAAATAATTATTACCACCATAAATAATAACTGTAGAAACCCTGTGTTTATAAACGTGGGTATGGCCTTTACCACTTCAGCATGAATGGATGCCAGGAACAGCGGGACATGATTTTTGTTGTTGTTGCCTGATTTAGATAGGCCTATGTTTCCACTTATAATTTCCGATATTTTGGTAGGCTATTTGTTACAACTTGTCTATTATTAGATACATGCAGCTTCTCATTTGTCATTATACGTTGCCCTAGAAGACTAAATAAACCCATGTACACCAGAATAACGTCATAAATGATAGAATGAATGCTTCAATCTAGTTGACATCGGTAAAGGTCTCTGTCATCTCTGCTTCTTTTAACGAGCAAAGACGTTCAGTCTTGGCTCTACTCATTACATGTTCACCGAATACATCCCAAAATGTATCTGTGATGTCATCAGTCTCCAGGAAGTTATACTGTATATTCTAAGGGAGAAAATGCAATAACTAAACAAGATGCTGAAATAAATAAATCATATTTCTCCACTCCTGTTCCCCAGCAAAGAAAACTGTAGAGCCTCACAATCATCACACATAACATAGCCGCCACTGTTATCATCCTCTTTTACCTTTTCAACAAATGTTTACCAAGCATTACTTTTCTGGCCCTCCCTTCTCTTTATTGTAAACTCTCCATTTCGCAGCTATTTCTTATTGAATTAAACTCTGACATTGTCTGTTTTGCTTCCTAACTTTTTCTGCACGTTCCCAATAGGATTTGGCGATTGGCGTGTAGGTTATTTGATGCGTGTACAGTTCAGTTAGGCCCTAAAGCTTAGGCCAGATAGCCTAAAATAATAAAAGAACAACCTATATGTAGCCTATAGATATAAATTGCACAAGAACTATACATTTATGGATGTTCTCTTTATTCACCCCGCCCGGATATAACCGCGGGAACTGTGGGGTATGAGTCAACCCGCGCATCACTATGACAAACGCTACATTGCCCCCTGCTGTTCATTTTTAGATCGTGTCGCCTGTATTGCGTCTGGTATTTCATTAATTTTATTTTCACTGAGGGATGGATGGAAAGTGGGATGTGAGTTTCAATAGAGACATTCATTGCATATAATCAGACAATCCAACAATATTTGTATGCATATGACAGGAACTTCTGGATCAACCAGTCCTGCAGACAGGAGTCTCTTTAAAAGATAGAAAAGGTCTCAAACATTCACTTCACTTACAGTAAGTTGATTATCAGATCATAACAGTATAAGAATATATATATAAATAGCATACTCCTAAATCCAAAATGAATAGTGTTTGGGACATACTTCATCACTGACAAATTAGGACTACTGTATAATTTGATCGACAGACTCATACAGAAATCTCTACAGAATCATTTCTTCAGATTAAAATAAACAAATAATAAATTAGAAACATATCTCTCGTAAAATAACTGTCTGCATACCTCTTCAATAACAGACATAAGGGCCTAATTTTGGCCAATTTGATTACATTGAAATACATTGTGAAGCTTTGATAGTATTCTATTAGTATTATGTACAAATATTATAAGTAATTCAGTAAAATTTTATCAGCAGGTATAATGCAGTACTACTTGTTATAAGCATTAATGAGCCCTTTCACTGTTATATTATCAACTCATATGATATGCCTTATGAAAGTGTTACCCGTAATTCTATATAATTGACACTACAGACAGTTACAGTACTTCAGAGGTCAGTGCAGTATTGTGACACTGCGGTCAGCCACAGCAAATGCTGGCATCAGCGGGCCACTAAAAGCGTGTCTGACCGAGTGCAACACGGCCCTGGAGTCTGGGTCATAAAATACCAGGGTCTGACTGGGCCAGTCCAGGAGTAGCCCCAGACTCTTGGGCTTGTGGACCACGTGCAGGGGCGTGTTCTTCCCCGCATGGCAGAAGGAGAAGTCCCCATCGTATTTGGAGAGCACCCAGGACTGGACGTTGTAGCCGAGGCGGGAGTCGTTGCCCGAGCCCTTGCGCCCCATGCTGGCGTAGCATACCCCCACCTTGAAGGCCCCGCTCTCACCCACGTCAATCACCCAGCTGTGGGTGCCGGAGGAGATGGCCAGGGTGCCCAGCGCATTGGGCCAGCTGTCGAAGCGTGCCGGGTCGTAGGGCGGGGACTGGCGTGACCGCTTAGGCAGGAAGGTCAGAGTGCAAAGGTCTTCTGAGAGGGACAGTACGGAGCTGACGGTGCGCTCGTCAAATGTCAGATTTGCTGAACCGTAAGCTTAAGGGAGAGAGGGAAGAGAAGAGTGTATTTTTATTCATAATTAATTAAGCACTTATTGCCAGTTGTTCAGACACTATTAACTGCAACTATTTGAAACTACTGTTTCCTGAACAACCAGAGGTTGCCCTGGCCTATATTATGTTACCAGTTGGCCCCAACAGTATGGCGCTGGCCCACAGGCCCCTCATGAGTTTGCTGTCACTGCAGCTGGTGTTCAGGTTGAGATGGTCAGTGTCACAAGGCTCACCCACCCCCTCTGCCTCCTCAATCCTGATACACACACAAACACACACAAGAGGCAAGTCATGTGAATCTGACTAATGAACAACGCAGGATTGCTTCACCAAGTGGTTGGGCAAAAATACATGTCAAAATATAATATTTACCTCTCAGCTATTTCCTGGCCAGAGGTCTGAAACACAAGAGAGCGTCAACGATCATTTACAGCAATCAAGTGTAACATTATTACCATCATCATCATCATCGTTTGCACCACCATCAGCACTCTTGTTCGCCCCTTCTATTTTTCCATCCTTCTTTCTTCCACATTACATTTACATTTACATTTTAGTCATTTAGCAGACGCTCTTATCCAGAGCGACTTACATCTATACACTCCCGCATCCCACCCTCTATTGTCACTCTCAATCATTTATATACACCCTGGATTGCTGATGCTATGTATTAGGATGCTTTGAAGCCACCGGTCAGCCATATTGGCAATCCCCAGTAAGAGCAGTCCTCCATAGGAATGTATGGAATATAATGTAAAAGTATGCATTAAAGGGGCAATCTGCAGTAGCTACATTCGTTTTTGGACTTCTAAATTAATGATATGTACCCATTGATTCTTGAAGAATATAACTTATAAATGCCTCATGACCTTAGTTCAACTGTCGTACCCCATCAGTACCCAAAATATAAGCTTGTTTTACTCCAATGTTTGTAAACAACGTGAATGTAAACAAACACTGTATAGCCTCAAAACATAGTTAAAACTATTGTTATATAATGGACGGTCAGTCCTTGCATTCATAGCTCTGTATATGAATTTGAGAGTCGTTACATTTCTCCAGCCCCGTCCCTCAGCTTCTTAGCGAAACAGTAGCGGAGAGATTGCGTTCCATCAATGTGGCAAAAACAAATGTAATAATAATAATAATAATATGCCATTTAGCAGACGCTTTTATCCAAAGCGACTTACAGTCATGCGTGCATACATTTTTTGTGTATGGGTGGTCCCGGGGATCGAACCCACTACCTTAGCGTTATAAGCGCCGTGCTCTACCAGCTGAGCTACAGAGGACCATGTAGACATTAATAAATGCAATTCTATAGCTTCCAAAATATGTGTTACAATGGTGGGGGAGTGCCAAGATGGAGGCATGGTGGCTTCAACACAGTGCCCCCATTAGTCATCTAGTGTATATATAAATCATTGGTCTCTCCCTCCCTACCTGTACCTATCTCCCTTACTCACTGCCAGCTGTATGTCCGGTGTGTTTGTGAGGGTGTGCACCAGGCGTGTGCGTGTCTGTGTGAGCATAGCCAGGGCCTGGCCCCAGTGGGCTCTCTGGGTGAGGAGGCACTGCTCCACCCTCTCCTCCTCCCTCTGCACCGCTTCCAGCAGCCGCTGTTCCTCCTCCTCCACAGCCTCCCTCACCACACTGACCTGGGCCACCACTTGCTCCCGAGCCCCGCTCGCCTCCACCTGCATAGACACACAGCAGAGGGCATAGGACACACATCAAAAAGACATGATGGAATCTATTAGATATCTGTGTGTAGAGCTTGCCATTCCGAAGCTGTGTGTAGTGTAAGCAAATAAGGGACTGAGTGTGAGTGTAACAGTGCTGCTCACCTGCAGTGCCCGCTCTTTGGCAGTCAGGGTCTGGTTGATAAATAGCTCGATGCGCTTGGCCTGCAGCTGCATTTTCTCACATATGTCAACCAGTTGGTTCTGTTCAGGACAACACACACATTCAGTGACTGGCATGAAAAAGACTAGTGTTGGACTTGAAAACCACAGAGCTGATCAGGTACATTTTCAAAAGCAGGGACTCCTATCCTGATTAGCCTATTCCTGTAGTGCTGAACTGCCATCACCAACATGTAATTGTGTATCCTGAAATAGAAAATAATATAGAAGAGCAGTGATGATAATTGATACTGATTGTATGGAAAATGTTTTGAAAGGCTTCTTGCATCTTCCCAACAGCTTGAAATTCTTGTCTCCTCACATTCCACAAGACAACAGGGGAAAGTCCTCAGTCTGGTGTGGGAAAAGTGTGGCACACCCTACACACCCACCAGGCATGTGAACACACACTTTCGAAACACAAACCAGCTGGTCCTTTGTACTGTAGTACCCCAGGTAACCAACGGTATACTCAGTTTGCCTGTTGCATTCTCACTCCTAACTCTAGGTAAACAAAGTCTCCTGGCCCCATTCACTGTGACAAAGGTCCATATGACGCACAAGCTGCAGCTTAAATGTAACTGCCCAAAAAGGACATGGTATTATTTATAGGTGGTATATTCTAATGGTATTACAACAAGAGACTACATCTGGATAATTTCCTTTCAGGAAAAGTCTGGGCACTCACCCTGACCGCTGTCACTCTGCTGGCCAGGGGTGTCACCGTGCGGCCCTGGCAGGATCCCACTATGGCGCAGTGCGAGCATATGAGTTTCTGCTCGGAGATGCAGAACCAGTCCAGGTCTGATTCATGTTCCATGCAAAGTTCCGATTCACCTGAGAATATACCCGATTCTGAGTCGGAGGTGGTCACCGCTGATGTAGCGGCAGCCTTTCCAGACAACCCGGAGACGACTTTAGCTGATTGAGTTTCATGCTGGAGTACATCCAACGAGAAGAAAATCGGCTGTTGTAAATCCATATTAATGTCTCCCGAACTTTCTCTAACTTCCACTCCAGCGTCTGGGTCGTCTCGTAAGGACACAGGTGTTCAATCACGTGATTCTGGCTCCGCGCTCATGGCACGTCAAATAGCCTACTGAAAAAGCCTACTAGGCTAATTGAACGCGACAGGTGGCTTCAGTAGCCTATCTACTGCAGTTATAACACAGGTGTATCAAGGTATGAACACGGAAGTAACACAGACACTAGAGCTGAAAAGCAAGTTTAGCAACATCTGCAGCAACAGCGGTCAGTTTCAATGACAACGATTTTTGTTCAGATGCCCTTGTTATTGCCTATCATTGTTTTAGGCTACCTCCTTTACCTGTAAGATGACACAGTGTTTCCATATTGTCATTTGACCTCACAACATCCTCAATCGCAATGACATTTTACATTTTAGTCATTTAGCAGACGCTCGTATCCAGAGCGACTTACAGTTAGTGAGTGCATACATTATTATTATATTTTTTATTTTTCATACCCCCCGTGGGAATCGAACCAACAACCCTGGCGTTGCAAACGCCATGCTCTACCAACTGAGCTACATCCCTGCCGGCCATTCCCTCCCCTACCCTGGACGACGCTGGGCCAATTGTACGCCGCCCCATGGGTCTCCCGGTCGCGGCCGGCTATGACAGAGCCTGGATGACCCTCTCTAGTCGAATTGTAGGCTTACATTTATTTTATTTTATTTAATAGGATCCCCATTAGCCGACGCCAATGGCGACAGCTAGTCCGACACATAACGAAAAATACATTATAAAAAGACTTTACAATTTACATACAAAAAAAAATTTAAGACGAGGAGGGGGAGGAGGACGACTGTATGGACATTATATCTGAATTACCGATTGACGTGAATCTCCTCTTGAAACAGACTGTAATCTGGGACCAATGACGTCTCACACTCTCAGAAAACCTACATGATCTTTTAGCTTTCCGTTAGAAAACCTACATGATATTTTAGCTTTACATTTATTATAGTTTAGTATAGGCTAAATAGTCCAACAATAGTTGGGGCTATGTATTTGAATATTGTATAATTATTTTTAAAAATAGGCCTACATTTAGCCTCGGCTATCCTGAAATGGTATAGGCTACGCCTATATGCCAATGATGACAGTTTAATTTGAGACTCTTGTGCCGCGTTCAAAACAACTGGGAACTCGGAAAAATACGAGCTCAGACTGGGAAAAATCGATTTGAACGGTCATCCAACTCAGAATTCCAACACGGGAACTCGGGCCTCTTTCTATAGCTCCGACCTGAAAATCACTGACGCCACGATTTGAGTTCCCAGTTGTTTTGAAAGCGGCCAATGAAATGTCCAAGTTTCTGACTTGCAATTCTGAATTGGAGGACCATTCAAAGTCGGTGCATGTTTTTTTTCCGAGTCCCAGTTGTCTTGAACGCACTAAAGTCAGAGATCTCCGAGTTCCCAGTTGTTTATAAACGCAGCAATATGCACATGACTAATGATATTGGAGGTCGTTCACTTCATGTCCGAAACTCTGATAGGACTACCCGGAGTTTCTGATCTGGGAAGTATCCAAATCAACCAATAGGAAGCTCTATGCACATAATTTACGTTCATTTTAACTCGGAGGTTCCGAGTTTCCACCTGGACGTCAACGCGGCATTTAGAACAGTTTATAAAGTAAATTGCGTAGTGTAAACCCCACAGTAAATGTGTAGGCTAATCTAGGTTTATAGCCTATGCCTAGCCCTTTTGGCCATTTTAATTAGGCCTAAATAAACATAAAATCAAATGTATTTAAAGTGCAATTTCAGAGATGCATTTCCCTTGACAGAAATAAAATGCACAAAAAGGGAAAGGGGGATAAAAACAGTTTAATTTTGAAGGAGGAAACATGACTCCTCGGGGACTCCCAGCCGTTCCATGTATTTTAACTATTCCACAGCTAGCACACCTGTTTGAAATTGTCAACAAATCATCAAGCCCTTGACTAGGCGAATCAGGAGAGTTAGTTCAGGGCTACAACAAAATTGCGAAACGTCTAGGTTTGAGAACCACTGCACTAAATAATGCAGAACACCTGAATCAGTGTATGAATCGAATATCTAGGCCTACTCTACAATCACATAACAGGGCAGGGGCCATCCAACGGTTGTTCCATCCATGGGCTACTAGTGCCTGGCACCCGGAAATCCTACAGCTTCTGTTTCGCGTTTAAATTACAGATGACTGTCGACGTACACATGAAGAAGCAATGGAAACATGATGGCGTCAGGAGAGAAATTGGTGGCGCTCCAAAGAAATCCCCGTCTTTGATTGGAGAATCGAATCGGACACCTTTAAGTCAAGAGAATTAAGAACGCAAAATATGTAACGTTTTTGGGGATTTGACAGAAGGTTTTCAAAACTGTATTTTCATTGGTTGAAAAATGTGTAGCCTCTTCGTCCCTCCCCCAACTCTTGCCTCGTTTTCTTCTACGCCAGCGGTATCGCGGAGGTTTGTTAGCGCGGGGGGAGGACCAAGAATCGGGCAACGGTTAATCCTATTTAACCAAACTGGCAGTAAATCGGGGCTAAGGGTTGTAGCCCTGATCTAAAATGGATCGTTGAGATAGGTGATGGCTGGCATCGAATAGGTTTTAATATGAAATACCTGTCAGAACGTAAACAGATAGACTTATGTAATGGATTTTAGGCCTAAATAAAGGAATATCAAATGTATTTAAAGTGCAATTTCAGAGATACATTTCCCTTGCCAGAAATAAGACACACAAAGGGAAAGGGGGATAAAAAGTCGCATTAAAAAATACAAATACAATTATTTTGAAGGAGGAAACAATATTTCATCCAGACAGGTGGTTGAGGGCCAACAACAACTAAACAAAACAGCTAAATCTGGGTTTCTCAAACCTCTCCTTGGGTAACCCCCTCCCCTTCCATGTATTTGAGCTATTCCACAGCTAGCACACCTGGTTCAAATGGTCAACTAATCATCAAGCCCTTGACTAGGTGAATCAGAATAAAGTCAATTAGTCCAGGACTACAACAAAATTGTGAAGCGTCTGGGGGTCCCCGAGGAGAGGTTTGACAACCGCTGAACTAAATAACGCAAAACACATGAAACAGAGTGTAGAAATCTACTCTGACTCGAATATCTACTCTAAATCTAACAGGGATTAAAATCACATAGGACATGGCAGCGGCCATCCAAGGTTTGTTCCATCCATGGGCTACCCCTGTCTGGCACCCGGCAATCCTACCCTGCTGTTTTCGCGCTAAAATAACAGATCACTGTCGGAGTACACAGGAAGAAACAATAGAAACGTGATTGCGTCAGTAGAGAAATGGGTGGTGCTCCAAAGAAATCCCCGTCTTTGATTGGAAAATCGGATCGGACGCCTTTACGTCAAGAGATTAAGAACGCAAAATTTCTAACGCTTTTTTGGATTGGACTGAAGGTTTACGAAACTGTATTCTTAGTGGTTGAAAAATGTTTAGCTTCTTCGTACCCTCCCCAAAATCTTGCCTGGCTTTCTTCTACGCCAGCGGTGTGGGGAGGACCAGATTCGGGCATCGATTGACCCTATTTAACCGAACTGGCAGTAAGTCGGTTCTGGGGGGTCGCCCTGACGACTTTTAAACGAGTAGATCGCCTCACCTGTTTTTACATTTCGCCCCTTGATCGACCGCACTTCCAATGTCGGATTTCAAGCTCGGGATTGTTCGACTTGGCCGTGTGGCTGGGAAGGTGAGCTGGATCCGAGGGCTGCCATGTGCGACAAGAAGGGGAGGGGATCACAAAAGCTCTTACAAAATGGCTCGTTGAAATCGAATATATTTTAATATGGAAAACGGACGGACATAAGTCGTGGATCTTTTTAGAAATCTAGGTGGCCTAATGTAAATGTTAAGCTGAATTCGTTTTCTCACGAAGCCGCCCAGAACAAGCCTACATTAATTAGCTAGCCATGCTGAAGCTAGTTACATTTAACCGACGTTCGTACCTAACTAACTAATTTATGGACGCAACGATGGCATGGGTCAATGTTAAAAAAGAAAAAAATATCCTGGCCTCCAAATGCACACTTCACTAACGGTCAAGCAATTGTGATGTAGTTAACTGGCGACCCTGGCTAGTGAAGTAGTAGGAAGCCATTGCCACGCTCTATCCAGAAACCCCTTGCAACGTGACTGAGCACCGGCATGACAACTCTCAAGTAACGTTTGTTAGCTGGTGTTTTGGCTAACTACGGTATATTTTGAACTAGCTTATTTTTATCTTTACATTTTGAAGGCTGACAAACTTCGTCTCCTATGTGCCATTATTATTGACATGTAGCTAGTATTTTGTTTAGGCTAGCTACGTCAAACAACATTTTTACCTGACGAATTTGAACAGTGACATGATTATTTGCGGGTCCTCTTGTTTTTACCTAGAATAGTTGTAACACTAGACTAGAGAACAGTTGGTAAACAATGAAATGTCACATGTAGAAATGAGAACCACTTGGACATATCACGTGTTATGGAGGGACGGAACATTAGTCCATCTAGAGACCGTATATAATAGTCCAACACCACAGTGCTGTGCTTTTGCATGCCAGCCAGTGTGATAGCTATATTTTCTCAAAAGGCTTCTGTGTTTCATGATTGCTAACGTACTCAAAGCAAATTTAACTTGACTCAAGGTCTTGATTATACCATCACATCAGGTCATCTGATATGGTGTCATCTCACACACCTCATTGTTGTAATCTTGCCCCCTTGCTTTTAATCCCACACAATAATAGTGTAAACCCACATTACAGGTGGCAATAACTGTCCATTCTTTTGCAGACAAAGTACACACTTATCGATGAACAGGACATACCATTGGTGGAGAACTATGCTTTCGAGGTAAGAGGGTGGGGATTTATGAGGCGGTTTTGTAAGGGTCATTCTAGTCAGACCATTCCCACGCTATCCTGGCCCTGGTAAAAACAACTGGACTTTTCTTGACTATGAGGCCAGGGATGGATGAATAAATGTCACCATATTTTACAGGCACGCATGGAGGTAGATGCAGACGGAAATGGGGCAAATATCTTTGCTTATGCCTTCGACATTGGCAAAGGGCGCTGGGCTGGCAGGCCACTGCACGAGCTGCTCTGGTAAGTTGGTGTCCCATCCCCACAATCTGCTCCTAAATACAATACATCCTCATAGTCTGTCGGTTAGGGCAGCTTTTTGCCTTTATCAAACAAATGGCATGCTTCATATTTTGTGTGTGATGCTGGTAGACTGGTTGAGTCATAAGGCGATTTGAATGTTTATCCAGGGAGAAACACAGAGGAGGCATTGCTCCCAGCTTCCAAGTAGTCCACATAAACTCTGTAACAGTCGATAACCGTCTGGACAACCTGCGACTGGTCCCTGTGGGTTGGAGCCCCAAACCAGAGGAAATCTCCAGCAAGCAAAGGTATTACAGCTATGCACTTCTCCACTACAATTACTATAGCTACAGTTGAAGTCGGAAGTTTACATACACTTAGGTTGGAGTCATTAAAACTCGATTTTCAACCACTACACACATTTCTTGTTAACAAACTATAGTTTTGGCAAGTCAGTTAGGACATCTACTTTGTGCATGACACAAGTAATTTTTCCAACAATTGTTTACAGACAGATTTCACTTAATTCACTGTATCACAATTCCAGTGGGTCAGAAATGTACATACACTAAATTGACTGTGCCTTTAAACAGCTTGGAAAATTCCAGAAAATGATATCATGGCTTTAGAAGCTTCTGATAGGCAAATTGACATCATTTGAGTCAATTGGAGGTGTACCTGTGGATGTATTTCAAGGCCTAGCTTCAAACTCTGTGCCTCTTTGCTTGACATCATAGGAAAATCAAAAGAAATCAGCCAAGACCTCTGAAAAAAATGGTAAACCTCGGCAAGTCTGGTTCATCCTTGGGAGCAATTTCCAAACGCCTGAAGGTACCACGTTCATCTGTACAAACAATAGTACGCAAGTATAAACACCATGGGACCACGCAGCTGTCATACCGCTCAGGAAGGAGACGCGTTCTGTCTCCTAAAGATGAACGTACTTCGGTGCGAAAAGTGCTAATCAATCCCAGAACAACAGCAAAGGTCCTTGTGAAGATGCTGGAGGAAACGGGTACAAAAGTATCTATATCCACAGTAAAACGAGTCCTATATCGACATAACCTGAAAGGCCGCTCAGCAAGGAAGAAGTCACTGCTCCAAAACTGCCATAAAAAAGCCAGACTACGGTTTGCAACTGCACATGGGGACAAAGATCGTACTTTTTGGAGAAATGTCGTCTGGTCTGATTAAACAAAAACAGAACAGTTTGGCCATAATGACCATCGTTATGTTTAGAGGAAAAAGGGGGAGCTTGCAAGCCGAAGAACACCATCCCATCCGTGCACGGGGTGTCAGCATCATGCTGTGGGGGTGCTTTGCTGCTGGAGGGACTGGTGCACTTCACAAAATAGATGGCATCATGAGGAAGGAAAATTATGTGGATATACAGTGAGGGGCAAAAAGTATTTGATCCCCTGCTGATTTTGTACGTTTGCCCACAGACAAAGAAATGATCAGTCAAAAAAATTTAATGGTAGGTTTATTTGAACAGTGAGAGACAGAATAACAACAAACGCATGTCAAAAATGTTACAAATTGATTTGCATTTTAATGAGGGAAATAAGTATTTGACCCCTCTGCAAAACATTACTTAGTACTTGGTGGCAAAACCCTTGTTGGCAATCACAGAGGTCAGACGTTTCTTGTAGTTGGCCACCAGGTTTGCACACATCTCAGGAGGGATTTTGTCCCAGTCCTCTTTGCAGATCTTCTCCAGGTTACAAGGCTGACGTTTGGCAACTCGAACCTTCAGCTCCCTCCACAGATTTTCTACGGGATTAAGGTCTGGAGACTGGCTAGGCCACTCCAGGACCTTAATGTGCTTCATCTTGAGCCACTCCTTTGTTGCCTTGGCCGTGTTTTGGGTCATTGTCATGCTGGAATACCCATCCAAGACCTATTTTCAATGCCCTGGCTGAGTGAAGGAGGTTCTCACCCAAGATTTGACGGTACATGGCCCTGTCCATCGTCCCTTTGATGCAGTGAAGTTGTCCTTTCCCCTTGGCAGAAAAACACCCCCAAAGCATAATGTTTCCACTTCCATGTTTGACGGTGGGGATGGTGTTCTTGGGGTCATAGGCAGCATGCCTCCTCCAAACACGGCGAGTTGAGTTGATGCCAAAGAGCTCCATTTTGGTCTCATCTGACCACAACACTTTCACCCAGTTCTCCTCTGAATCATTCAGATGTTCATTGGCAAACTTCAGACCGGCCTGTATATGTGCTTTCTTGAGCAGGGGGACCTTGCGGGCGCTGCAGGATTTCAGTCCTTCACGGTGTAGTGTGTTACCAATTGTTTTCTTGGTGACTATGGTTCCAGCTGCCTTGAGATCATTGACAAGATCCTCCCGTGTAGTTCTGGGCTGATTCCTCACCGTTCTCATGATCATTGCAACTCCACGAGGTGAGATCTTGCATGGAACCCCAGGCCGAGGGAGATTGACAGTTCTTTTGTGTTTCTTCCATTTGCGAATAATCGCACCAACTGTTGTCACCTTCTCACCAAGCTGCTTGCCGATGGTCTTGTAGCCCATTCCAGCCCTGTGTAGGTCTACAATCTTGTCCCTGACATCCTTGGAGAGCTCTTTGGTCTTGGCCATGGTGGAGAGTTTGGAATCTGATTGATTGCTTCTGTGGACAGGTGTCTTTTATACAGGTAACAAACTGAGATTAGGAGCACTCCCTTTAAGAGTGTGCTCCTAATCTCAGCTCGTTACCTGTATAAAAGACACCTGGGAGCCAGAAATCTTTCTGATTGAGAGGGGGTCCCTCATTAAAATGCAAATCAATTTATAACATTTTTGACATGCTTTTCTGGATATTTGTTGTTGTTATTCTGTCTCTCACTGTTCAAATAAACCTACCATTAAAATTATAGACTGATCATTTCTTTGTCAGTGGGAAAACGTACAAAATCAGCAGGGGATCAAATACTTTTTTTCCCTCACTGTATTGAAGCAACATCTGAAGACAACAGTCAGGAAGTTAAAGCTTGGTTGCAAATGGGTCTTCCAAATGGACCCCAAGCATACTTCCAAAGTTGTGGCAAAATGGCTTAAGGACAACAAAGTCAAGGTATTGGAGTGGCCATCACAAAGCCCTGACCTCAATCCTATAGAACATTTTTGGGCAGAACTGAAAAGGCGTGTGTGAGCAAGGAGGCCTACAAACCTGACTCAGTTACACCAGCTCTGTCAGGAGGAATGGGCCAAAATTCACCCAAATTATTGTGGGAAGCTGAAATAAATCATTCTCTACTATTATTCTGACATTTCACATTGTTAAAATAAAGTGGTGATCCTAACTGACCTAAGACAGGGAATTTTTACTAGGATTAAATGTCAGGAATTGTGAAACTGAGTTGAAATGTATTTGGCTAAGGTGTATGTAAACTTCCGACTTCAACTGTATATTCCACTCTTCTAGTACTCATCACTTCTTTACTGAGGAAAATACAACATAATATTAAGAAAAGACTAGGTTATTCAGACTTGGCCTGGTATTACTTGTCCATTTTAAATGTTTCACTTGTCATAACATACCTTTTTTAACTGGTCTTTTTTTCTCCCCCTGTAGAGAGCAGTCTCTGTACTGGCTGGCCATCCAGCAGGTACCAGCTGACCCCGTAGAGGAGCAGTACCTGGAGCTCAGTCGTACCCGCTACTACAACGCTAACGGAGAGCTGGTGGAGGAGGAGGAGTGCTCCTGTACTTACTACGAGTGTCACTACCCACCCTGCTCGCTCATCGAGAGGAGAGTACGTACCCATATATTCTGTTTTCTTCTGTTATTTTCACACTCCATATACTCACTCTAGGGAAGGGAGTGCTGAAGTACAGTGTCACAAAACCCATACATGTGTCTTTCCACCAATTTGATTTAGTATTCCATCTGCCCACAGCTTAGAGAGTTCAACATCTGTGGCCGCTGTCAGGTGGCTCGCTACTGTGGCTCCCAATGCCAGCAGAGGGATTGGCCAGCCCACAAGAAGCAGTGCCGTGAGCGCAAGAGGGTCCTAGCCCTGGAGTCTGAACCTGAGCGATGATCTCTGGGTCAACCACCAGGATTGGGGAATTGGGGGAAGATTGGGAATGAAGTGCAAAGGAAAAAAATCTTCTGACAGAGACTAATGACAGAGGATAATGTTGGTTGGTTGATAGGGTGGGAAGATAAAAATAAAAAATAAAAAAAATACCTACAACCATTTCACAGAACTGACAAATCTCCATAACTTGCTTTTTTTTGGAGAGGGAGATCCTCCTGAAGCTCTACCTGCTGCTATGGATTTGTATGTTTGAGTAAGAAGAGGTCACACAGATGAAACTGTCCGTTCTTCTTTTGGACTGCAATTAATTAGTTGTCATCAGCTTTCTCCTTACTCCCAGGAATATAAGGACGACAGTGCCTGCTGTTCACCTGGTACAATGGGACATGGACCTTTTCACTGTACTACTACTCCCTCTTGGAACTTTGGTGCACATACTCAGCCAACTCCCTGTCATGCTCCAAGACCAACATACATCAGATAGATTTACTGTGCTGTTTCACACTAGCAGTATTGTGTGTGCTGCCATTATGGACTGAAGGATATAGATGAAGTGGTGAACATTGGGGGGAGGGTGCTTTTGTTCTGTGTATTATTATTATTTTATCCCGTTGTTTTTGGGAAGGGGTGAGAAGGGGTTATTGATTTTTGGACTTGATCACTTGTAGAGGCATTGTTACTTTCCTGTGTTGAACATCCCAGAATTAATCTGTCTCTTGATGCAATCGGTTCTGTTGCTGTTCCAGATGCTCACAAACACAGTTCCTGTCGCTAACATTTGAGGGATGTCCTGGGAACAACTTGAAAACCCAGGTTGGCCATTGGACAGGCTGTCAGTTTGTTCTTGGGATTGTATGAAATGGCCCGAATTCGTTTTGTTTTCTACACGTCAGTCATTAAAGAGATATCGGTTCTATGTCCAAGTGATCGTAGATTAAATAATACATTTTCCAGATCATCTCCTCAGTGTACTATTCATGCACACCTGCTCAAAGTTTGTCTTCCTGTAACCTCTTCCCCAGGCTATTGTGAACAGTGCATATAAGCCTGGTACATCAACGATTCGAGGTTGGCCTTAGTGGTTGTGACCTTACTGAGTAAAGTATTTGTAGTTTCATTTTAGTGAGTCGCACGACTGCGAGGCGTGGCTCTGTGCTTGTGGTGTGCTAGCGTACAGGGAAGGATTAGGGGGAAGGCGTTGTAGATGATTGGTTGGTAGATTAAGCCAATGCCTATGCGCCGGGAGTTTCTTCCGGTCTTTCTGTGTTGGCTAACGAAGGCGAGGTTTGAAGCGTTGGTCCACCAGGCTCTTCGCACATTTGGGCAGAAGTGTCTGGGAACGAGATTATGGTGCTTTCAAGACAACTGGGAATTTCGGAAATAGCCGAGGTCAAATCATGACGTCGGTGATCTTCAGGTCGGAAAGTTGGAGCTCTAGAAAGATGCCAGAGTTTCCGACTTGGAATTCTGAGTTGAATGACCGTTCAAAAAGATTTCCCCCAGTCTGCGCTAGTTTTTTCTGAGTTCCCAGTTGTCTTGAACGTGGCATTAGTCTTCCTGTTGTGTCTTAGGTGATGATGATGATGAATCCTGACAAACACTCGCAGATAAAGCATGTCACAAGCAGATGTAATACATGCTACACACGTTGATTGTTTTTTATGTATGTAGACTGGTTCATAACACTGCACTGAATTGTTTTACCACCCTACTATTCTCTTTGTCATAGAGAGGGGGGGAGTTTAGAGGGAGGGAGAGTTTGGACCATTGGGTGTCTTTTTTCTTTCTTCTTTTTTTGTGAAGAAAAAGCATTAATCAGAATAAAGACTAAAGTTTGGGATAACTGTAAAATTAAATAAAATAAAATGTTTCACATGGATGTATGGCTGTTGTGGGAGTTTAGGGGACCCTCATGGTATGACACCTCAAAAATGTCAGTTTTTCACACATTTGATGTTGGTTGTTCATTTAGATACAGTGCATTCGGAAAGTATTCAGACCCCTTGACCTTTTCCACATTTTGTTACTTTACAGCCTTATTCAAAAATGTACTAAATACATTGTTTTCCTCATCAATCTACACACAATACCCCATAATGACAGTGAAAATGGGTTTTTAGAAATGTTTGTAATTTATACAAAATAAAAAAAGAGACCTTATTTACTTAAGTATTCAGACCCTTTGCTATGAGACTCGAAATTGAGCTAAGGTGCATCCTGTTTCCATTGATCATCCTTGAGACGTTTCTACAACTTGTTTGGAGTCCACTTGTGGTAAATTCAATTGATTGGACATGATTTGGAAAGGCACACACCTGTCTATATGAGGTCCCACAGTTGACAGTGCATGTCAGAGCAGAAACCAAGCAATGAGGTCGACGGAATTGTCCATAGAGCTCAGAGACAGGATTGTGTCGAGGCACAGATCTGGGGAAGGGTATCAAAAAATGTCTACAGCATTGAAGGTCCCCAAGAACACAGTGGCCTCCATCATTCTTAAATGGAAGAAGTTTGGAACCACCAAGACTCTTCCTAGAGCTGGCTGCCCGGCCAAACTGAACAATTGGGGGAGAAGGGCCTTGGTCAAAGAGGTGACCAAGAACCCGATGGTCACTGACAGAGCTCCCGAGTTCCTCTGTGGAGATGGGAGAACCTTCCAAAAGGACATCCATCTCTGCAGCACTCCACCAATCAGGCCTTTATGGTAGAGTGGCCAGACGGATGCCACTCCTCGGCACCACCCCTACGGTGAAGAATGGTGGTGGCATGTTTTTCATCGGCAGGGAATGGGAGATTAGTCAGGATCGAGGCAAAGATGAACGGTGCAAAGTACGGAGAGATCCTTGATGAAAACCTACTTATTCCTGAGCACTCAGGACCTCAGACTGGGGTGAAGGTCCCTAAGCACACAGCCAAGACAACACAGGAGTGGCTTCGGGACAAGTCTGAATGGCCTTGAGTGGCCCAGCCAGAGCCTGGACTTGAACCCGCTCGAACATCTCTGTAGAGAACGGAAAATAGCTGTGCAGTGACGCTCCCCATCCAACCTGACAGAGCTTGAGCGATATGCAGAGAAGAATGGGAGAAACTCCCCAAATGCAGGTGTGCCAAGCTTGTAGCATCATACCCAAGAAGATTCAAGGCTGTAATCGCTGCCAAAGGTGCTTCAACAAAGTACTGAGTAAAGGGTCTGAATACTTATTTACATGTAATATTTCAGTTTTTTATTTTTAATACATTAGCAAACATTTCTAAACCTGTTTTTGCTTTGTCCTTATGGGATATTGTGTGTAGATTGATGAGGGGGGAAAAAACAATTTTAATTAATTTTAGAATAAGGCTGTTATGTAACAAAATGTGGAAGAAGTCAAGGGGTCTGAATACTTTCTGAATGCACTGTATATTTATGAAATGGAATTTACTGTGGAGCTTGTAGAATTAGATTGTTACTTCTTGAAAATGTAGGCTATTGCCTACATTTATTTGTAGGTGTGTCTAAGTAAAATGGAATGAATAACCTGTAGCCAACGTCACCATGGTGATCAGTGTCTGGGACTGGGCACCTCTCTGGGACAAGAGATAGGAGCGTAAGGAGCCAGCCTGTGACGTTTATCCCCTCCCTCTCTTTCACATTCCCCAAGCGAACCCAACCCAGGCAGAGGAGTGAGAAACCCTCACTATATTGAATTAGAGCCTATCTGAAATGGCGGTAAAAAAAAAAAAATTGTGGGGGGGGGAGAAACACTGCGACTGCTACTAGAAAATGTCACAGAAGTCTATCTTAGTTGAGTTACAATTTGCCCAGAGGCTCGAATGGTGTTACCGGAGTGCTAACGGACGGATTGCAATGCTTTCTTTGCAATAATTTTGCGTACCTGAGCACAGTGGATATTTAACTGGACTATGATTTGCTTAATGGACAGCCTTTATGGATTTCAAATGTCTGTGTCTGAGCCACAACTCTCACTCAGCACCAATGTTTATTATTGTAGGACACTGCATCTGTATGGAAAGTTACACAGGCAATCATAACTTAGACTCCCTTTTAACCCCAAAAGGCATTAAAGTCCTGAAATAATACCGCTCATGACAATTGATGTCCTGACCCATGTCACACAAATAAGTGATATGGAGGCTGGCTGCCCTTGACTATGCCTGAGTTTAATATGACTACTAAAAATAATAATGTATACTGCTACTGTTTGTAATCTGTATAACCATGGTTCTGAGACGCACATACGTAAATCTCTAAAGCATATTAATGTCAGGCTTTACAATGTGACAACTCCCGACCGGTGGTTAATGTTATTGTCCCCCTGCTCATTCAGGCTTTGCAGTACTGCAGCCTATCTTCTTGGAGTCCTGGTGGAAAGAGAGGAGGTTGTGCAGCAGCTGCAGGCCATGGGTCCAAAGGGCAGCAACAGCCTTGGTTGGAACTCTAGGGCAACTCCTAACCAGAGATGATCCATACATTGTGATGAATGCTGCTGGTGCCTTAGCCTCTTTGGTGTGTGTGAGAGAGAGCGGTGTGTGTGAAAGTGTATGTGTGGGGCAGCCTTACCAGTAACCATCTCTGTCTTGAATCATCCCTCTCGCTCAGGCTAAGTGCTCGGCTGGGCGTGGGTGGCTACTGAGAGACCAGGCTGTGTTTGGGCAGGTCTTGACCAGCCTGTTGACACTGCTGGACCAGGGACGGGAGAACACGGTCAACTCTGCTGCCCTGATCCTGGCCAGGCTGTCCCTGTGTGAGGTGGCCTGCCAAGGCTTGTTATGCCACCCCTCAGTACCTTAAGCCGCCTGGCACAAAGCCACATAGGTCAGAGACAAGGACACGGTGGGATAAGGTCTTGTTTGGCAAAACACAGCGCTGCCATGGCACTGCGCTATTGAAAAAGTGTTTGCCCCCTTCCTGATTTGTTATTTGTTTGCATGTTTGTCACACTTAAATGTTTCAGATCATCAAACAAATTTAAATATTAGTCAAAGATAACACAAGTAAACACAAAATGCAGTTTTGAAATGAAGGTTGTTATGGTTAAGGGAAAACAAAATCCAAACCTACATGGCCCTGTGTGAGAAAAGTGTTTGCCCCCCCCCCCGTTATAACACAACTCAACTGTGGTTTATCACACCTGAGTTCAATTCCTCTAGCCACACCCAGGCCTGATTACTGCCACACCTGTTCTCAATCAAGGAATCACTTAAATAGGACCTGCCTGACAAAGTGAAGTAGACCAAAAGATCCTCAAAAGCTAGACATCATGCCGAGAGCCAAAGAAATTCAGGAACAAATGAGAACGAAAGTAATTGAGATCCATCAGTCTGGAAAAGGTTATAAAGCCATTTCTAAAGCTTTGGGACTCCAGCGAACCACAGTGAGAGCCATTATCCACAAATGACGAAAACATGGAACAGTGGTGAACCTTCCCAGGAGTGGCCGGCCGACCAAAATTACCCCAAGAGCGCAGCGACGACTCATCCAAGAGGTCACAAAAGACCCCACAACAACATCCAAAGAGCTGCAGGCCTCACTTGCCACAGTTAAGGTCAGTGTTCATGACTTCACCATAAGAAAGAGATAGGGAAAAAATGGCCTGCATGGCAGAGTTCCAAGACGAAAACCACTGCTGAGCAAAAATAACATTAAGGCTCGTCTCGTTTTTGCAGGAAAACATCTTGATGATCCCCAAGACCTTTGGGAAAATACTCTGTGGACTGACGAGACAAAAGTTGAACTTTTTGGAAGGTGTGTCCCCCATTACATCTGGCGTAAAAGTAACACCGCATTTCAGAAAAAGAACATCATACCAACAGTAAAATATGGTGGTGGTAGTGTGATGGTCTGGGCCTGTTTTGCTGCTTCAGGACCTGGAAGACTTGCTGTGATAAATGGAACCATGAATTCTGCTGTCTACCAAAAAATCCTGAAGGAGAATGTTCGGCCATCTGTTCGTGACCTCAAACTGAAGCGAACTTGGGTTCTGCAGCAGGACAATGATCCAAAACACACCAGCAAGTCCACCTCTGAATGGCTGAAGAAAAACAAAATGAAGACTTTGGAGTGGCCTAGTAAAGTCCTGACCTGAATCCTATTGAGATGCTGTGGCATGACCTTAAAAAGGCAGTTCATGCTCTCAAACCCTCCAATGTGGCTGAATTACAACAATTCTGCAAAGATGAGTGGGCCAAAATTCCTCCACAGCGCTGTAAAAGACTCATTGCAAGTTATCGCAAATGCTTGATTGCAGTTGTTGCTGCTAAGGGTGGCCCAACCAGTTATTAGGTTGTAGGGGGCAATCACTTTTTCACACAGGGCCATGTGGGTTTGGATTTTGTTTTCCCTTAATAATAACAACCTTCATTTCAAAACTGCATTTTACGTTTACATTTTAGTCATTTAGCAGACGCTCTTATCCAGAGCGACTTACAGTTAGTGAGTGCATACATTTTCATACTGTTATCTTTGACTAATATTTAAATCTGTTTGATGATCTGAAACATTTAAGTGTGGCAAACAAATAAGAAATCAGGAAGGGGGCAAACACTTTTTCACACCACTGTATGTACGTCACTCACTCCTCCATTTGACACCCTAGGGCCTAATTCTGTCATCAAGTAGAGTTATTAGTCTCAGTGTCACTGTACCATCAGAGAACATGGAAAATGTTTCACAATCTATCGTAGTGTAGCCAGATGGGTACCTGGCTGAAGCACACCCCCTCACCCTTTCCTCCCTCTCTCGGTCTCATAGGGCAGTGAATGTATTGTCATGACCAGCTGGAGTGTTACACGTGAGAGAGCACGGGTCTCTCCAGTAGCGACTGAAAGTTGTCTCATTACGGTACTCTCTGGAACATTTCTGTTGAACCAGGTTACTCCAACGTACCTGGAATGCCATGTATGCTTGGTTGATCAGTTATTACATAGCCTATAGATAGTTTTTCAAGCTAATATCAATAGGATGTCTTTTACTATATCAATCATATTACTATATAGAAGTTTGATTATATATCCATTACCAGTTATCAATTATTGGTGGTATAACTACATTAAAATGACAATAGCATACTCTTTTCAATAGGGATAAACAACACCTCAACCAATGAAATGTACATGTATTTATTGCATTTATTACATGTCTCAATCAGTGGAGGCTGCTGAGGGGAGGACGGCTCATAATAATGTCTGGAACGGCGCAAATGGAATGGCATCAAGCACATGGAAACCATGTATTTGATACCATTCCGCTCCATCCATTACCACGAGCCCGTCCTCCCCAATTAAGGTACCACCAACCTGTGGTCTCAATCCCTTTCTGACTCTCTCCTCCAGTCTCTCTCCAGCTCTCCCTCCATTGGCCAGGAGCTCAGGGAGGAAGTGAACTAATGTCTTAGGAACCTGCAGCTGCTTTCCAAGCCGTTGCCCCTGAAAACGAGACGCCTCCCATTGGGGGTCTGCACTGTGTCCTAGGAGAAGTGTTTCCCTGAGAGTGGCCTAGAGGTCACCTACAGGTCAGCTGACTGCAGGAACGTTAAGGAGTTTTATTATAGGGACCTTTTCACCAAATATACTCATGCCAAGGCTCATAATATTCTTAGAGAAAACGTAAAAGAAAAGAGAAAAGTTGTTTCATGGACAAGCAACATTGTATCCTTCAATGTAGAAGGGTATCATTGTATAAGCAGTTGACTGATACTCTTTTTCGGTCCCCAGCCTTCTGGACAGAGAGACAGTTCTGTATCGTGGAACCCTAAGTCATGTGACCTTGCCTGTATTTATCCTCAAACCTGGACATGAACTCTCACTCAGACTACTCCACTCCATCTCTGATGGGGGCACCAGCACCTGCAGCGACCCCGTGCTATTGGCCATAGAATCAGAGGGGGAGGGACAAGGCCCGGTCATCCACAGGAGCTGCGTTTGATTGGATGCACAGCGTCTCATGTGCGACTGAGTTGGGTTTTCACCAGCGGGCGAGCTGAAGCCCAAGATGTATCAACTGTATCGTGTTGAAACACTAATAGAGCTGTGGTAAGTTATGCTACAGCAATCAATACAGCAGCCTTAAACGTTTACCATAACACCAAATGTATTTTGTACAATTATCTTTGTTAAGGCTGTAGTGGGTGGTCTGTCCCCAGGAACCCTGTACCAGCTGGGTGTGTGTGCAGTGGGGCCTGGGGAAGAGGTTGGCCCGTGTGCAGAGGTGGAGGTCCGTACAGCCGAGGACAAAGGACCACGCACCCAGCGGCCTGACCATGGTGGTGCTGGGTAGGCATGAGCTCCAGATCATGTGGGGGGCTCCCCTGGTGCCCCTGGGTTGCCTGTTCCACTATGAGCTGAGGCTGAATGGCCATGTTGCCTACCTGGGCACAGAGCGTGCTCACATTGTCCGCCGCCTTGCCACCAACACAGCCTACACCTGTACTGTAACAGCCATCACCTCCAAAGGGCGCTGTCAGAGCCGGCCCATCACCAAGAGGACCGCCTGTGACGAGTACCCACACACAGAGGTGACAGGAGGAATCAGATTGTGTGTAACGTAGCTTATGTGGCTGAATCTATGCATTAGGAGGGGGAACTTCAATCTAGTGTTCAATATACAGTGCTGCTCTTGCCACTGTGTAAGCGGTAACCCTAGCCACAGTGTTCTTACATTCTGTCTGTCTGTCTCCCTATCAGGTGTCTATACTCCTCCAGCCGCCAGCCACCTCCTCAGACTCCTTCATCACCCCCATCAGTCACGGAGGCAACAGAGGTCAGACGTAAGGTCATAGAAGTCATGGAAAAGGTAAAGAAGACCCATTCTGCACACAGCCATCTGACCAAGGTCCATCTGTCCAGCAGGCAATACAGAGGGACTGACCACGACAGAGAGCGGCACAGGTTATTCTCATCACAAACTAAGCTATGTCCTAAGAGAGATTGATCATGTTGACATGTGTAGATTTGTTGTGATTTTATGCTTGCCCTTTTCTTTGTCTTCCTCCAGGCAGCCTTTGGTCTCCACGCCATCTCCTGGCTGTGAAAACAGCTACATGGAATCATCTGAGGTAGGCCTACCTACACTTTGATATCTTAGACAGTGCAGTACCGAACATACTTTTTAGGAAGTCCAAATGCAAGTGATATTTCCTGTTTTACTAGATGACCATGGGGCTGGTGAACGAAAATTATGCAAAGGCCTTATGGAGGAGAACCAGAGAGAGGGCAGGAGTGTCCGTTTGCCCTGCCGTACTTCCTGTCCAGCCCCTGCTCCATCTCAGGGCTAAGACTGATGAAAACCTGCTTGAGAGCCAATCCCACTGTGGCATGGACCAGACTTTAGACCCCTCATGCCTTAGGGCCAAAATAAGGCCAGGTACGGTTCTATGTGTGTGTCAGAGAGAGGCTTCACCAGTCAGTTATACTAGCTTGACACTCTGACCTATTGTATGTATGGTATATCTATTGTATAACCTCAGGGAGGCTTTTCCAGTGGAGTGCTCTCAGAAGAGGACCCAGAGACAGACGAAAACTCCCCTTTTCCCCCCATCATATACAGTGCATTCGGAAAGTATTCAGACCCCTTGACCTTTTCCACATTTTGTAACGTTAGTCTTATTCTAAAATTGCTAATATTATTTTTTTCCCTCATCAATCTACACACAATACCACATAATGACAAAGCGAAAACATGTAATGAATGATACATTACATAATGTTAATTGAAAAGGAATAGTATTAAATGGATTAGCCCAATGTGTTGATTTCCTGTTAGTGATAAGCATAAGTGTTAACGATGTATACTATTTAACTCTGAAACATCCATTAAGTGCATTCGGAAAGTATTCAGACCCCTTCACTTTTTACACATGTTACGTTACAGCCTTATTCTAAAATGCATCATCAATCTACACACAATACCCCATAATGTATTAAAAACCGAAATACCTTATTTACATAAGTAAATAAGACCCGAAATTGAGCTCAGGTGTATCCTGTTTCCATTGATCATCCTTGAGATGTTTCTACAACTTGCTTGGAGTCCACTTATGGTAAATTAAATTGATTGGACATGATTTGGAAAGGCACACACCCATCTACAGTTGAAGTTGGAAGTTTACATACACCTTAGCCAAATACATTTAAACTCAGTTTTTCACAATTCCTGACATTTAATCATAGTAAAGATTCCCTGTCTTCTGTCTTAGGTCAGTTAGGATCACCACTTTATTTTAAGATTGTGAAATGTCAGAATAATAGTAGAGAGAATGATTTCTTTCAGCTTTTATTTCTTTCATCACATTCCCAGTGGGTCAGAAGTTTACATACACTCAATTAGTAGTTGGTAGCATTGTCTTTAAATTGTTTAACTTGGGTCAAACGTTTCGGGTAGCCTTCCACAAGCTTCCCACAATAAGTTGGCTGAATTTTGGCCCATTCCTCCTGACAGAGCTGGTGTAACTGAGTCAGGTTTGTAGGCCTCCTTGCTCGCACACGCCTTTTCAGTTCTGCCCACATATTTTCTATAGGATTGAGGTCAGGGCTTTGTGATGGCCACTCCAATACATTGACTTTGTTGTCCTTAAACCATTTTGCCACAACTTTGGAAGTATGCTTGGGGTCATTGTCCATTTGGAAGACCCATTTGCGACCAAGCTTCAACTTCCTGACTGAAGTCTTGATGTTGCGTCAAGATATCCACATAATTTTCCTTCCTCATGATGCCATCTATTTTGTGAAGTGCACCAGTCCCTCCTGCAGCAAAGCACCCCCACAGCATGATGCTGCCACCCCCGTGCTTCACGATTGGGATGGTGTTCTTCGGCTTGCAAGCTCTCCCCTTTTACTCCAAACATAACGATGGTCATTATGGCCAAACAGTTCTATTTTTGTTGAGGACATTTCTCAAAAAGTACGATCTTTGTCCCCATGTGCAGTTGCAAACCGTAGTCTGGCTTTTTTATGGCGGTTTTGGAGCAGTGGCTTCTTCCTTGCTGAGCGGCCTTTCAGGTTTTGTCGATATAGGACTTGTTTTACTGTGGATATAGATACTTTTGTACCTGTTTTCTCCAGTATCTTCACAAGATCCTTTGCTGTTGTTCTGGGATTGATTTGCACTTTTTGCACCAAAGTACGTTAATCTCTAGGAGACAGAACACGTCTCATTCCTGAGCGGTATGACGGCTGCGTGGTCCCATGGTGTTTATACTTGCGTACTGTTGTTTGTACAGATGAACGTGGTACCTTCAGGCGTTTGAAAATTGCTCCCAAGGATGAACCAGACTTGTGGAGGTCAAAAAAAGTTTTGAGGCCTTGGCTGTTTTTCTTGATTTTTCCCATGATGTCATGCAAAGAGGCACTGAGTTTGAAGGTAGGCCTTGAAATACAGGTACACCTCCAATTGACTCAAATGATGTCAATTAGCCTATCAGAAGCTTCTAAAGCCATGACATCATTTTCTGGAATTTTCGAAGCTGTTTAAAGGCACAGTCAACTTAGTGTATGTAAACTTCTGACCCACTGGAATTGTGATACAGTGAATTATAAGTGAAATAATCTGTCTGTAAACATTTGTTGGAAAAATTACTTGTGTCATGCACAAAGTAGATGTCCTAACCGACTTGCCAAAACTATAGTTTGTTTACAAGAAATTTGTGGAGTGGTTGAAAAAGTAGTTTTAATGACTCCAACCTAAGTGTATGTAAACTTCCGACTTCCAACTGTATATAAGGTCCCACAGTTGACTGTGCATGTCAGAGCAAAAACCAAACCATGAGGTCGAAGAATTGTCTGTAGAGCTCCGAGACTGGATTGTGTCTAGGCACAGATCTGGGGAAGGGTACCAAAAAATTTATGCAGCATTGAAGGTCCCCAAGAACACAGTTGCCTCCATCATTCTTAAATGGAATAAGTTTGGAACCACCAAGACTCTTCCTAGAGCTGGCCACCCGGCCAAGCTGAGCAATCGGGGGAGAAGGGCCTTGGTCAGGGAGGTGACCAAGAACCCGATGGTCACTCTGACAGAGCTCCAGAGTTCCTCTGTGGAGATGGGAGAACCTTCCAGAAGGACATCCATCTCTGCAGCACTCCTCCAATCAGGCCTTTATGGTAGAGTGGCAAGATGGAAGCCACTCCTCAGTAAAAGGCACATGACAGCCCGCTTGGAGTTTGCCAAAAGGCACCTAAAGGACTCTCAGACCATGAGAAACAAGATTCTCTGGTCTGATGAAACCAAGATTGAACTCTTTGGCCTGAATGCCAAGCGTCACGTCTGGAGGAAACCTGGCACCATCCCTACGGTGAAGCATGGTGGTGGCAGTATCATGCTGTGGGGATTTTTTTCAGCAGCAGGGACTGGGAGACTAGTCAGGATCGAGGGAAAGATGAACGGTGCAAAGTACAGAGCGATCCTTGATGAAAACCTGCTCAGAACCTCAGACTGGGGCGAAGGTTCACCTTCCAACAGGACAACGACAGGACAGCACACAGCACACAGCCAAGACAACACAGGAGTGGCTTCGGGACAAGTCTCTGAATGTCCTTGAGTGGTCCTTGAGTGGCCGAGTCAATTTTAGACTAAGGCTGTAACGTAACAAAATGTGGAAAAAGCCAAGGGGTCTGTATACTTTCCGAATGCACTGTAGGTGAGTATCGGAGTATTTTACATATATCAAATGTTATTTGTCACATGCTTCCTAAACAACAGATCTAGACTAACAGTGAAATACTTACGGGTCCTTCCCAACAATGCAGAGAGAAAAAAAGAGAAATAATAGAAAAAGAATAACACGAGGAATAAATTCACAATGGGGAACAATAACTTTATTATATACACGGGGTACCAGTACTGAGTCGATGTGCAGGGAGGGGTACCAGGTAATTGAGGTAGATTTGTACATACACTGAGTGTAAAAAAATATGAATAACTCCTGCTCTTTCCATGAATGACTAGGTGAATCCAGGTGAAAGCTATGATCCCTTATTGATGTTACTTGTTAAATCCACTTCAATCAGTGTATTTTATTAGGGATCCCGATTAGCTGGTGCCAAGGCAGCGGCTACTCTTCCTGTGGTCCAAACACATTAAGGCACATCACAAATATAACTGTAGATCATATAACATTACTACACCACTACTTATCCACAACACAAAATGTACAATACCACCATACAACAACACCACAGTGTAAGTGTATGTGTGTGTAGAGTGCATGTGCTAGCGTGTGTGTGCCTGTGTGTGTCTCCTCACAGTCCGCGTTGTTCCATAAGGTGTAGTTTTATCTGTTTTTTCAATCTGATTTTACTGCTTGCATGAGTTACTTGATGTGGAATAGAGTTCCATGTAGTAATGTGTAGGACTGTGCGTTTCCCAAGTCTGTTCTGGACTTAGGGAGTGTGAAGATGAAGAGGAGGAGACCGGTTAAAGAAGGATTTTTAAGCCTTGAGACAATTGAGAGATGGATTGTGTATATGTGCCATTGAGTGTGAATGGGCAAGACAAAGATTTAAGTGGCTTTGAACTGGGTATGGTAGTAGGTGCCAGGCACACTGGTTTGTGTCAATTCCTGCAATGCTCAACGCTCAACAGTTTCCTGTGTGGTCCACCACCAAAGCACATCCAGCCAACTTGGCACAACTGTGGGAAGCATTGGAGTCAACATGGGCCAGCGTCCCTGTGGAACGCTTTCAGCACCTTGTAGAGTCCATGCCCCGACGAATTGAGGCTGTCCTGAGGGCAAAAAGGGGGGTGCAACTTTTTTTGTACAATCAGTGTTTAGGCAGGGATAAAGTGAGTAGGCAACAGGATAGATAATGCACATGTGATGAGTCAAAAGAGTAAAGAATAGTCAATGCAGATAGTCCGGGTAGCAAATGATTAACTATTTAACTAACTATTTAACAGTCTTATGGCTTGGGGGTAGAAGCTGTTCAGGGTCCTGTGGTTCCAGACTTGGTGCATCGGTACCGCTTGCCATGCGGTAGCAGAGAGAACAGTTTTTGACTTGGGTGGCTGAAGTCTTTGACCATTTTTAGGGCCCTCCTCTGACAAGCCTGGTATAGAGGTCCTGGATGGTAGGGAGCTCGGCCCCAGTTATGTACTGGGCCGTACGCACCTCCCTCTGTAGTGCCTTGCGGTCGGATGTCAAGCAGTTGCCATACCAAGCGGTGATGCAGCCAGTGAAGATGATCTCAATGGTGCAACTGAATAACATTCTGAGGATCTGAGGGCCCATGCCGAATCTTTTCAGCCTCCTGAGGGGGAAGCGGTGTGGTCGTTCCCTCGTCACAGCTGTGTTGGTGTGTGTGGACCATGATAATTCCTTAGTGATGTGGACACTAAGTAACCTGAAGCTCTAGACCTGCTCCACTACAGCCCCGTTGATATGGATGGGGGCGTGCTCAGCCATCCGTTTCCTGTAGTCCACGATCAGCTCCTTTGTCTTGCTGACGTTGAGGAAGAGGTTGTTATCCTGGCACCACACTGCCAGGTCTCTGACCTCCTCCCTGTAGGCTGTCTCATCGTCGTTGGTGTTCAAGCCTACCACCGTTGTGTCGTCTGCAAACGTAATGATGATGTTGGAGTCGTGCATGGCCGCGCAGTCGTGGGAGAACAGGAGAGGACAATGCAATCGCCCCTGAGGCGCCCACGTGTTGAGGGTCAGAGTGGCGGATACGTTGTTGCCTACCCCCACCACATGGGGGCAGCCCGTCAGGAAGTCCAGGATCCAGTTGCAGAGGGAGGTGTTTAAAAAGCCACATCTTTGAGTCATGTGCTTGTTCTTTGGTCAATGTCTGTGCTTGTGCTTATGTCTGTATGTGGTGGTACATTTTAGCAGACATGGTGAAGTTAGTCCATCCCACCTCTTACGCTGGACACTGTAAAATCAAGCTGCTGAGACAGGTAGTGACTGTTAAACTGGAACTTGTGATGAATTTTCCAAGGCACTGTGAGTGGAAATGTTGAAGGATATTGTTTATTTCTCATGTATCTGTGTATCATAAATAGCTTGGAATGCTCTGCTGTCTTTCATTTACATTTTAGTCATTTAGCAGACGCAGTTAGTGAGTGCATACATAATTTTTTTTTCATACTGGTCCCCCGTGGGAATCGAACCCACAACCCTGCCGTTGCAAGCGCCATGCTCTACCAACTGAGCTACACGGGACTTTCAATATTGTATTCTGCTTTGAAATCCCTTCCTATAACTCTGTCTGTGTCGATCTCTGTCCTAGGACCAGGCTTATAACAGGACCAAGAGTACAGAGCGAAATCAGAGGAAGACATCCTCTGACAACAAACTGGACCAAACTAGGCTGACTATAACTAGTAGAGTAAAGCATGGGATCACACTGAAAAATCCTACTTGTTCAGAGAAGAAAATTATAAATAATCAAGACTGTGACAAGCTTGTTCTATAGTATTTTGATTTAGCATATGCGTTTGAATCATAATAAAATACATTTTGTTTTGATTATTCTTTTTTTGTATTTGTATGCTAAATCTTAAACTTTTGCATAATATATAAATGAAAAATGTTTACACAGCAGAAAATAAACTATATCTATACCACTAAGCAAAACGATTTGTCTACCCCTAAAAGAGAAAATAAATAAATAAAATAAAATAATACAGTTATGCACACTTTTAGCTTCTCAACAGTGCTCATCAGTTTAGAGCTGCACTGACGCCTCCACACCACGATGCGTCGTGAGTCATTTAGTATCACAGAAACATTCATGAAAATATACTCTTCGGGATTTATTTGACTCTTTATGCGGAAGTTGCACGTTTCATAACAACAGTTATGTACACATTGGCTTGTAGTTGTTGAATATTGTGGCGGTATAATAAATACGTCAGCTTAATTAAAGTTGTTATTGACGAAATGGTCAACCTTGGACTCACAAAAGTGGACGATGCGCTTGCAGCAAAACATCCGGTAGGTCCTTTCTCTTTCTACTGCTTCAACCTTTTATGCAAGACACTGCTGCATGGCTGCTGTAGCTCAGCTGTAGAGGACACATGCTTTGTGTTTTGACATTTTATACAAGATTATATACATTTACTAGGTTTTACAGCCTTCCTTGTTCTTCTTTGCTAGTTGTGTTCTCAGATTTCTCACCAGAGCTACCTAACCTAGGACACATATTGAACATTAAAATAATCTCTCATGATAATTGCATTTTGTATTCAACACATTTGCTATCTTTCCACTCTCAGGGTTTACAACAGTATGCTGCCTGTCAGTCTCATGCCTTCATGAAAGGGACAGGGACCTTTATATTGGGTGAGTGACAATCCCCCAATGCTTTGTTTTCTCATCATATAACTATTTATGCATGAATGCATAGTGGACCCTTTTTCATGTACCCTAACATTTCCTGTACTCTATCTTAGGGACAAGTGGATTATTTATCATACAAAAAGTTATTCAGAAGAGGTTTCCATATCCTTTGCAGTGGAATCTGCTGATTTCAACAGGTGAGAGTGTGCCTGTGTACTCAAATTACAGCAAGTGATGTGTACGTATAACCTGCAGTGATATAGAGTTTAGAATGATTGTCTAAATGTCAATCATGTCTACCTTTTTGTCTCACCTTGTTCCTTTCATTGGCACCTCAACTCCCCTTCAGTGGCTTCGTCAGTGGGCAGCTATGCAGTAACACGCTGGGAGACAATGAAGTGCACTGACCTATGGATGTTAATAGAGACAGGGAAAGAACCAGACCGAACGCCACACAGTGAGTATAGCAGTGGTTCTACTCTATTCTATCTCATTCTATACAACGTGAACTCCATCTCAATGCTTGTTGTGCAGACGGACACCAAATAAGAGTGGTTGACATTAGGCCAGTGGTTTATTCAGCTCTCAGGTCTCTGACATCTCTCTGTGTCTGTCTGTGTTGCAGTAGCAGAGCCCGCCCCTGAGGAACCAGCTGGGCCTAAGAAGACCCCATATGGAGATGTGATGGAATGACCACAGGACATACTCATGTACAGGAAACCCCAGTCATCTGCTTCACATCGCACCCACTCAACCCTATCAATAAACACATTTATTTATGCATTATGGTTAGACTATGTCACCATTGGTCGATGTTCTGCCACGTTGGACTTCTTTTCACGCGGGTTCAGTGATTGAACCCTTTATATAGATCAGAAAAACTTTTAAGGGTTTTAGTTGATCATGGCATTTTGTCAGATTTGGAAACCCTGACTTGTGTCCAGATGTGTACTGTATAGTGCATACTGTATTTAATATGTGAAATGTAAGGGGGAAACATTGTTATTCTGTATTTAATATATGTAAAATGTAAGGGGGAAACATTGTTATTCTCTGTTACAGAGTGGTCCTTGGGTCTTGAGGGTTGAATAAACAATGTCCATTTGATCACATCCTGTAAATACTGGGTTTATTGCGATAGAAATCATAGCCATCATAAAGTTTTTATTTCCTCAAAGGTTAACCACTGTTGACAGATGAGTAAGGGTCAGATTTCCAGAGCGATATGCTGTGAGATTTGGATTTGGAGCGCAGGGTTTTTTCTGGATCAAAAAGGGGCTTAGGAGGTGGGTGTGCCAGGGGGTGTGGTAGGGGGCGTGGCAATGAGCGTGGCCACATTTTAGAACACATTTTAGAGGCTCCCATCTTGGCGCTGTATTTTTTAAATATTTTTCTGTTTTAAAGCTAATTTCCTGCAATTCTGCACATTTTGTCATGCAACTGAGAGAAAATGTTGCAGTTTTCAAGCTAGTTTATTTTGCTTAAACAATAACAAAATGAATACTGCTAAATTCATTGTTTTTGGAATTTTCAATTCTGACTGTCTAGCTTTTATTTTGGTGATTATTCGTTCTCAAAGATTGTTATTGAAAAATATTTAGGTTAATTATCTTTTCTACATACTTTATATCTGGTTTTAGTCGTTTAAGTTTACGCATATATTTTTTATTTATTTATTTTTTACACTATTTGCACTTAGGTGACCTGAAAAAATGCTTCCGCCCAAGGATTACTATAGCAGAAAAATCCCTGGAGCGGGATATGAGGGCATATGTTGTTGCATTTTGACAGAGTTCCACAAATCTGTTTTCACTTTTTGGGGGATTCAAATTTTAAGCTCATGATCCTGTATTATTTTTTATGCCTTGGTTGGCATGTTGTATGGCTGAAATGAACCGGTAGTTTCCTAAATTGCCACTAGTGGTTAGTATGGATCATTGAGGTTTTGTAGAATTCCTGCGCATGTAACACAGTTTGGAACAGGTTATACTCGCAGCATAACATACAGTACATACTGTGTATCACTAGGTATAATACTGTTTTTCTCTTTTATTCAGAATTGACTTTCATTAAGTTTTTCTCTTTCATTCAGAATTTCCTTTATCCAGCAACTCCTCTCAAAGTTTTACTTTGAGTCAACAGAGGGCATGAGCATGATGCCTTACAGGATGCGATACTGTTTCACAAAGGTCTTATAGAATTGCATTGTAAGGACTGTTCTGTCTGTATTCATTCACTTGGTGAATGTGTCTCACACTTTATGTAGGCTAATACTACATCAATTTACTTAGTATATTTTACGATTATAGCTTTTAATCCTTAGTGGATTTTTTTCAATAACACATTTGTGAGTACGTTGCATGATTTGCTGAATAATGTTAAATTAAAAGTCAATGGAATTTGCATTGATGAGAGATGGCAAAGAAGTGATGACCGGAGGGAAGGAAAGTCAACAGACAAGGGTGCGCTAATGTGAAGATGATGTCTGTAATGTTACATGACATAATGTTAATTGAACTGAAGCAGTTGAAAATGAATAGTATTAAATGGATTAGTGGAATGTGTTGATTTCCTGTTAGTGATAAGCATTAGTGTTAATGACGTATAGGATTTAACTCTGAAACATCCATTAAGTGCATTCGGAAAGTATTCAGACCCCTCCACTTTTTACACATTTTGTTACGTTACAGCCTTATTCCAAAATGCATCATCATTCTACACACAATACCCCATAACGACAAAGCGAAAACAGGTTTTACGAAAATTTTGATGGTTTTTCTGTGGCTACTTTGAAGAAATTCAAATATAAAATATATTTTGAATTGTTTAACACTTTTTTGGTTACTATATGATTCCATATATTTTATTTCATAGTTTTGATGTCTTCACTATTATTCTACTATGTAGAAAATAGTACAAATAAAGAAAAACCCTGGAATGAGTAGGTGTGTCCAAACGTTTGACTGGTACTGTAAGTATTCAGACCCTTTGCTATGACACTTGAAAGTGAGCTCAGGTGCATCCTGTTTCCATTGATCATCCTTGAGATATTTCTACAACTTGATTGGAGTCCACCTGTGGTAAATTCAATTGATTGGATATTATTTGGAAAGGCACACACCTACAGTTGAAGTTGGAAGTTTACAAACACCTTAGCCAAATACATTTAAACTCAGTTTTTCACAATTCCTGACATTTAATCCTAGTAAAAATTCCCTGTCTTAGGTCAGTTAGGATCACTACTTTCTTTTAAGAATGTGAAATGTCAGAATAATAGTAAAGAGAATGATTTATTTCAGCTTTTATTTCTTTCATCACATTCCCAGTGGGTCAGAAGTTTACATACACTCAATTAGTATTTGGTAGCATTGCCTTTAAATTGTTTAACTTGGGTCAAATGTTTCGGGTAGCCTTCCACAAGCTTCCCACAATAAGTTGGGTGAATTTTGGCCCATTCCTCCTGACAGAGCTGGTGTAATTGAGTCAGGTTTGTAGGCCTCCTTGCTCGCACATGCTTTTTCAGTTCTGCCCACAAATTGTCTATAGGATTGAGGTCAGGGCTTTGTGATGGCCACTCCAATACCTTAACTTTGTTGTCCTTAAGCCATTTTGGCACAACTTTGGAAGTATGCTTGGGGTCATTGTCCATTTGGAAGACCCATTTGCGACCAAGCTTTAACTTCCTGACTGATGTCTTGAGATGTTGCTTCAATATATCCACATAATTTTCCTTCCTCATGATGCCATCTATTTTGTGAAGTGCACCAGTCCCTCCTGCAGCAAATCACCCCCACAGCATGATGCTGCCACCCCCGTGCTTCACGGTTGGGATGGTGTTCTTCGGCTTGCAAGCATTCCCCTTTTTCCTCCAAACATAACGATGGTCATTATGGCCAAATTTCTATTTTTGTTTCATCAGACCAGTGGACATTTCTCCAAAAAGTACAATCTTTGTCCCCATGTGCAGTTGCAAACTGTAGTCTGGCTTTTTTATGGTGGATATGGAGCAGTGGCTTCTTCCTTGCTGAGCGGTCTTTCAGGTTATGTCGATATAGGACTAGTTTTACTATGGATATAGATACTTCAGGCGTTTGGAAATTGCTCCCAAGGATGAACCAGACTTGTGGAGGTCTACACATTTTTTTCTGAGGTCTTGGCTGATTTATTTTGATTTTCCCATGATGTCAAGCAAAGAGGCACTGAGTTTGAAGGTAGGCCTTAAAAATACATCCACAGGTACACCTCCAATTGACTCAAATTATGTCAATTAGCCTATCAGAAGCTTCTAAAGCCATGACATTCTTTTCTGGACTTTTCCAAGCTCTTTAAAGGCACAGTCAACTTAGTGTATGTAAACTTCTGACCCATTGGAATTGTGATACAGTGAATTATAAGTGAAATAATCTGTCTGTAAACAATTGTTGGAAAAATTACTTGTGTCCTGCACAAAGTAGATGTCCTAACCGACTTGCCAAAACTATAGTTTGTTAACAAGACATTTGTGGAGTGGTTGAAAAAGCCATACCTCAGACTGCCCATCTTAATCTTTTATTTTTATTGTCCAGTCTGAGATATGGCTTTTTCTTTGCAACTCTGCCTAGAAGGTCAGCATCCCGGAGTCGCCTCTTCACTGTTCACGTTGAGACTGGTGTTTTGCGGGTACTATTTAATGAAGCTGCCAGTTGAGGACCTGTGAGGCGTCTGTTTCTAAAACTAGACACTCTAATGTATTTGTCCTCTTGCTCAGTTGTGCACCGGGGCCTCACACTCCTCTTTCTATTCTGGTTAGAGCCAGTTTTGCTGTTCTGTGAAGGGAGTAGTACACAGCGTTGTATGAGATCTTCAGTTTCTTGGCAATTTCTCGCATGGATTAGCCTTCATTTCTCAGAACAAAAATAGACTGATGAGTTTTAGAAGAAAGTTATTTGTTTCTGGCCATTTTGAGCCTGTAATCGAACCCACAATTGCTGATGCTCCAGATACTCAACTTGTCTCAAGAAGGCCAGTTTTATTGCTTCTTTAATCAGAACAACAGTTTTCAGCTGTGCTAACATAATTGCAAAAGGGTTTTCTAATGATCAATTAGCCTTTTAAAATGATAAACTTGGATTAGCAAACACAACATGCCAGTGGAACACAGGACTGATGGTTGCTGATAATGGGCCTCTGTACGCCTATGTAGATATTCCATAAAAAATCAGTCGTTTCCAGCTACAATAGCCATTTACAACATTAACAATGTTTACACTGTATTTCTGATCAATTTGATGTTATTTTAATGGACAAAAAAATTGCTTTTCTTTAGAAAACAAGGACATTTCTAAGTGACCCCAAACGTTTGAACGGTAGTGTAGATTATGACCACTCAGTGCTCCTGACAGAATAGGTTATGACTTGTACATAACTCAGAATCCATCTCTCACCAGCATCTGCCCAGACATCAGTGAGGAGAGTTGAATACATCCCATCTGCCTTGGTGTTAGTTAACAGCTGCTTGTCCCAGAAATGCTTTTCATTGCCATTGAGGGCTGAAAAGGTCTTGTTTTTGTACAGTAAAAAATATCTGCAAAGTGAATCTTGGGGACCCTGCAGATGGAAAATCTGTAATGTGGTGATTAGGGATTATGCAGAAGACAGTGGCAGGGGTTCTCGTCATAACCTTGGCAGCATGGGCAGCCAGGTGAGGTTGCGCT